AAAGGCTGTCTTTAGCAAAATTATTTTTCTTCTGTTCTCAAAATTTTATCCTGAACATATCCCTTTCTAACTTTTAATACAAATATATACATATACATGATCAAAGCCTGTGTAGTAAAAAATCTACAACGAAATTAAAGGATGCCTTCTGTCATTTTATATAATTCTTACAAGATAAATAATATATATATAATCGATTATACAAATTCATAAAAATTTGTGTATGGCACATTAACTCCCAGCTGTTCAGTGTCATTTTGTATGCAATGGCATGTGCATCTCAAAACTTAAGAGGAAATTACCTATTTAATATTTCTTTAAAAGCTCTAAGTATTAACTGTCAATGCAGGATGTGAAGTGATTAAACTTCTTCACAGGGGTATATATGGTAGAAGAATATTCACAGGTAACTCCATTACCTATGCATGTGCATTGTTCTTCTATTAAATTTTTAATTGCTTGGAAAAATAGTAGACTAAAAGGAGAGAAAGATTAATATCTTCAGTCAGAGAATATCTGAGTGGCAGAGGTTAGCAGGAACATCCTCACTCAAGCAGACCATCATCAAGCCCAACCTTCCTACTCAAGAAAGGTCACTTCTGAGTAGGTTGCCCAAGCCCATGTCCTGAAAGGTCTTGAGTAGCTTCATGAATGGAGGCTCCACAACCTCTCAGGGCAACCTGGTCCTGACTGTTACCACACTCAAGACAAAAGTGATTTCTTGTGCTCAGATGGAATTTCAGATGTTTTCATTTGTGGCCATTGATACCATCCTGTCACTGAGCACCTCTGAGAAAAGCACCTCTCTCTTCATCTGCTCCCTTCAGCTATTTATATACATCCTCAAGAACCCCCTGAGTCTTCTGCTCTATACAGAGCAGTACCAGCTTGCTCAGCCTCTCCTTGTATGGCAGATGCTCCAATCCCTTCGTAATCTTAGCTTAGCTGGATTGAAGAGCAACTCCCTCTCCCCACTTTCCCAGCCTGTCTTGACTAAAAAGCTAGCACACATCCATAGCGTGATGGATGTGAGAGCAATTTCACCACATCTCTGTGATCGTGCCTGAATGTAGCTGCACTTGGACCTCTGAACTCCTACTGGTTCCTATGCTGTGCACACTGATGTACAGGCATTCCAGGGAGAGACCACTAGCATATTGGGTTCTCAGGGAGGGCATGAGAGACTCTTCCAGAAGCGTTTGTGTGCCTGCACTTGCTGTGGAGCCCCTCTGCCCTGTTGGGTTGGTTTTGAGGGCTCTCCTGTCCATTCATCCTGCACCCTTTGCTTGCCAACTCAGACTACCACTTTCTTGATAGTACAAGGGATAATAGCTTCAAACTGACTGAAGGCAAATTAGATATTGGAAAGAATTTCTTCACTGTGAGGGTGGTAAGGCACTGGCACAGGTTGACCAGAAAAGCCGTGAATGCCCCAACTCTGGCAGAGTTCAAGTCCAGGTTGGACAAGGTTTTGAACAACCTGGTCTAGTTGAAGGTGTCCCTCTGAAGGTCCTTTCCAAATCAACCTATTCTGTGATTCCTCACTTGACTGTAGGTCATCATCACCCTCTCCCTTTATTTTTAGTTTAATGCCCTACTCATTAGGTTGGACAACCTTCTGAGAATGATTGGGCCGCAAGTGGTGAGGTGGATCTTTTCCTAGAAGTTCTCAGTCTTCAAGGAGGATCCCAGAGTTGTAAAAACCAAGTCCCTGCTGTCAGTAAAAGCTTTGCAAGTGGTTGTTGTCTTCCCAGATCTGTCCAGTCCCCTTCCAGCCCTTCTTCCTCAGTGGCAGTATGGAGGAGAAGATGATCTGGGGTTCCTGTCTGCTACCTATCTGGTCATGGAAGAACAAGAATTTGCAGTGTTATCAGAGGAGATCTAGTGTGCCTGTTACAGTTGTTAAGCATTATAGCCTAACAGCTCAGAGATTGTCACAGTTTGTCCTAATTGTAGTAGTCAGGCCTACATACACAGAGTAAAAATGATCCATAGCCATGAAGAGCTGGAGAGTGGGACCATTCTGAGGGATTATCTGACTATTCCTTAAGTTAGGTAGCACCAGCAGGCAGTCAGAACACACAAGACACAGCCTTAAGTAGCACTGAAGAAGTAAAGAACAAAGAAGATTCCGCCCTCTCCCCCATTAACTTCACACAGTTCTGACTGTGAATTTTGCTTAAAAACAGAAAAAGACTCCAGATACCAGACAGCAGCACTGGTGTTTTCTCCAAGCTACAAAGGTGAGGGAGCTTTTTTGTATGAGATATTTGAAATCATCAAAATATTAAGAAGATTTTTAAAAATAGTGAAAATAAGCTTTAAAGCCCAGCATATTTTCCATTAGTTTGCAGTCTGTCACCATGTCATGCTCTGTACCCTGCACCTTCCATAGGCTGGCAGTGTGTAAGGGTAGTACTTCCATGCTGCTCCCCACAGCACAGATCCAGAGCAGATGACAAGAAGCAGCAGGCAGCGGGGACAGAAGCATGGCAATGGTTGATAATTCTCACACAAAAGATGTGAAAAAGATGATGGAAAAAAGGCAGGGGAAGAAAATAAAACCAGACAAGTAGAATTCACTCACTTCCAGTCTTGTGTGTTTAGGTGATCATGGTTTAATAGGGAAACAGCGGTTGTGCTAAAAATAAATTATTTTGTGAGGTCAGATATTCAGGAGTACGATTACAAGGTAGAGCAAGGATCCTTAGAGAAAGTAGTTGGGTATACTTCAGGTAAAAATGCAAAATTCAGAGGAAGGCACTAGGAATTCCATTCTAGTGATAGTTTTCCCTCACTTAATACAGGTAGGAAATATTTATAATTTGATTTTTTATACCTGCCACATGACTTAATGCCAGAAGCTCACTCTTTTAGTTCAGTTTTGAATTCTCACAGATTCATTTAGAGAACCATCCATTAAATCTATATCTATCTACAGTTGCTTACACCAAAGTTTAATGCAAGAGTTCCTATTTCATGAAAGCGTATCCTTCAGAAACACAGCTCATCTTGATCTAAATGTATGAAAGATAGGGAAACCAATACTTATTTTGGAAGTTGGTGTCAGTGTTGGACTAAAACCACAATGATCACCAATCCTACAGAGAGTCCACCTGAATCCATGAAGGCAATAATACCTAATACGCTGTTTCACCTCTCTGTTGGGCATTCCAATACAGTTATCTCCTACCAGTAAATACACTCAGGATTCCCTCTTGGCCCAATCTCAGTACACCCTGAATTCAAGAAACAACTTGCACATATAACTTACTAGGAGTCAGAGTAAATGACAAAATAATCATACTTGCACTCAAACAGGAAGCTCACAGTATGACAAAGTATGAACCATATCCTTGTTTGCCAGGTAAATTATTCCACAAGGAAATAAGTTCCAAACTGCTTCAGAAAAACTGACGCCCAAGAGGAGATAGCAAATGATACCTTGTCTATAGAGATGGTCAAACAAGCATAAGTTAAAGCTGGTCTACTGCCATATCCAGACAGAAACTCTGATAACAAATCATTGACCTGCAGAAGAGTGTGATCCCTAGAGCCGGAATTGAAGAGACAATTGACAGTTGTTTTCTCATGGGATATTGCAATGGAAATCAACTTTTCCAAGTTACTTTTCATGGTCCCAAATTTAAGTATGTTCCATAGACATTAAAAAACTACAAAGTATACACAATTTTTAACTATGCTTGTCTAATGTTAATTAAGTGAAGTTCACAAATACATTTATCTTTAATTAGCTTTAGGATTTCAAAGTAACTTCTAGAGACAGATGATATTTCTAAGAAAGTAGTCGGTGATTTCACTGAGGCCCAAAAGGAATCTCTGGAGACTTGGGAACAGAAGCCAAATCATGTGAATGCTGAAGCATTCTCTAACCACTAGGAAACACCTCTTAATTAATTTAGTTAATATTTACACTCTGCATAGGAAACCAGAAATATTTAAATTACCATTATTCTAACGACACTGTGCTAATGACCTGAGTTAAGGACTTATGATATTACCAAAGACTCGTGAGTTAATTAGAAAGGTCCAATAAGTCTGAGGAAAACTTCATAAAAGCCAGATGCTCAACATGAGGATAACCAAACTCAAATCACTAAAACTGAGGTCCCAACTTACTTGAGATAAACATAAAGAAAAAACAGTCATTAATGGCACAGATATCAGAGACTTGGGATCAACATGGTTGCTTAATATATAGCTTGGTTAGAAATGTTCCTCAGCAAGAGGAACATTTTTCGAGCATCATTTGGTGTTCTCAGCAGAGAGTCCATCACTATCTTCATTAGAAAAGTTACATAACCCAATTAATCCTCACAGGCAGGTGGTATTTCAGATAGAAATTAGGTGTATTACAGTTCACAAATGAAATCTCTCCTTTCTCATTTTGGTTACTAAAAAATTTTCAGGTTGAAAAGCCTTAAGTATTTCAGGCAACAGGAGACTAGCAGCTGTGTTTTAGATCTTTTAAATCTTGATCTTATGCTTTTATCCATACAGGTAACAACGTTTGGGATTAGGGAATACCTCTATCAACCCCATCCTTAATTTTAGATGACTGTTGAAAGCACAACAGTCTCAGTGATGTAGACAGGTAATGGTATCATGGCTGTGTGGGTTCCTCTGGTCACTAATAACTGAAGTTGCTAGACATTAGGGGATCACTTGGGCTGGCAGGGATCTCCAATACCCTGCTTAAAGCAGGCTCAGCCATGAGGTCAAATCAGGTTCCTCAGAGCTCTACCCAGCCAGGCCCTGAAAACTTCCAACAGCTACTGCACTTTCCTGGGCTACCTCTTCCATTGCTCAACAATTCCTAAGGCAAAAAAGTTTTCTAGAAAAGTTGCATACATTCCAGTCTGAAATTGTCTTGTTTCAAATGATCCTCAAAAAGATGTAATATTTAAATTCTGTTTAAAAATTTTGCCCAGCTAAAAAAAGAAAAGGACACGTATGCCCTTGAAGTAGAGAAGACTTACTGTATCATGTTGCCTGTTATCTTTCCCTGATATGATCAAGAAGTAGTTCCATGCCAGCAGCAACAACAAAGCCAGTGGTATCATGTAGAGCTCAAAGTTCCAGACCACAAAAAGAAAAAGCTAGAAGACAGAACAGGGAAAAAAGTTATTCAAATCAGCATTACATTAGTAAACTCTTGTGCACAGTTAAAACAATAAATTAAAACAATTCTAAAAAAACTCCACCTCTCCTCAGACAGGAAAGTTGTTTAACCACTTTGCTGACTTGACACTTACCTGCATGAAACAACTGATACACTTCCCAATGCTTCCTACCTTAATTCTTGGAAAAGAAAAAATTATGCAGTGTGGTCTAAGAGGATTATTAATTGTTCTCTCATAAAATAATGTTTTTGTGGACAAAAAAATGCAAAAAGGCATAAATATAAGATTACATCCTTAGAAAGGTTAGTTATTTTCACAGAACCACAGTATAACTTGGGTTGAAAGAGTTCTTAAAGATCATCTAGATCCAAACTCCCTGACATAGGTGGGGACAGGCTCCACTATACCAGGCTGGTCAGGACCTCATCCTACCTGGCCTTTAACACTTCCAGGGATAGGAAAACCACAACTTCTCTGGGTAACTTGTTCCAGTGTTTCACCACCCTTACAGTAAAAAATGTCTTCCTAATAACTAATTTAAACCCACCCTCTTTCAGTATAAAGCCATTACCCCTTGTTCTATTACTACATACCCTTGTAAAATATCCCTCTCCATCTTTCTTATAGGTCACAGGAATGTGATTAATTTAAAGACCTCAACATGTCAGTGAATCTGGTTTTAGTTTTGAAACAATCCTGTAGCAGTGGAAGTTGGCAGAGGAGTGAATAAAGATTAATTTGCTGTTTAGAAGAAACAATATGGTCATGGCATAGTAATGCCACACAAACAAGCAAAAGTATCAATCTGAAAAAATCTTTTGCATGAGAAACTAGCAAAAAAAATCACAGTAAAAGCTACAAGTGTATGGCCATTTTAATGAAAGCATAGCAAATTTGAAATTACCACACACTCATTAAAAATTGGGATTAAAAAAAAGTGCTGAGAACCCACCTAAATCCACCGCTCCGAGAGCTTTAATTTGTTGCAGTTTGTTTCCCAAAACAGCTCAAGTGCTCCATGACTGGGAGTTACCAGAAGCTTGGTCGTGTTATATCTCTCAGAGATGTGCATGGGCTGCTGTCTAGTATAGGGCCCAAACAGAGACTGCACACAAGGAGAAACCTATCTGCACTACCAGCTCTGTACACCAAGGTCTAGATACCATTCCCTACTGACGCTGCTAAAAAATTAATGGTTTGCAGGAAAGAACTAAGAATAATTTCACTTGGATGGGGTCAAACTAAAACAATTTTTATTTCCAATTTTCCCTACAAACAACCCCCCCTTAAAACAGCTTAAAATCCATCTGTAGACATTACTAAGGTTTGTTTTCTTCTCATAAAAACTTATTCACAAAAAAACAAATGTGAGAGTAAATCACACTATGTACCACAGTTGGATAAATATCCTTAAATCTTGATAAGCCTTCTCCATCCAAATAGTTAAGCTTTTGAATATTTGTATTTTTAATACCTACTAAAATGAAGGAGGATGTATTGCCACAAAACTTGCACACCTAATGCACTACCCCTTTTTTTCAGATTAACTAAAACGGGGCTTATTTTCCCAAATCAATCATAGGATGTATATAAAGCGGAGTAAGAATAAAATTGGGATTTCAGTAGTCTTCTGCTGGCTTTTTGTTTGGACTTAAAGCACAAAATGCTCTTATCAAATTTAAGCTGCCACATAGGAGAAAAAAAAAATTATATTTTAGGTAATCTTCTCTCTCAGATCAGCTAACTTACCTCAGCCCTGTACTTTCTACCACTGAGTGCTATCTATATGGAAGTCCTATGAAACTGCAAGACAAACATGATAAATACTGAAAAGAACTGAAAAAGCAGTGTGTATGACTCACAAGAGTATATTGGCACTCCTAACTGTATTTCATTTGAAAGAGAAATGCATTTTTTGGGTTGTTTAGTTTAAAAGGAAATCTGCTAGAACTGGTAATGAAAAAGCGAACGAGCTCATGGAATTCAAGAGCTCTTCTATGAGCTTGTTATCTACAGAAAAGTGGTAAATTTGATGTAGCCAACTTATAACAGATTTCATGTCTCAAAAGAAAAGCAAAAAATTGTTGCATGCCTTAACCCAGAAATGCCCTGAGTTAATGTATACACGCTGAAGGGTGCTCTGGAAGTCAGCAAATAACACCAAGTATTAGAGAAGCAAATACAAGAGACTACCTGTTGATAAATGGCAATGCATAGTCTTTCTTAGGGTCTGAGATGAACTTTGGTTAGAAAGATGGAAAGAAAATGAAGTACTATTCAATCCCTGTCCCCAGAGAGAAAAGAAGCTAACAACCTACACAGTCTCAGGAAATACAGACCTGACAGGAGAATGAGGAACACGGTCATCATGTCCCCTGTACTCCAGAATATCAATGAATTCTCATCCAAGCACTTCTCAGTTGAAGTATCTAAGTGCCAAATGATCTTTAATGGTATTAATTCCTTATAGTACCAAACTCTGAGGGCCAGTAAAAAATTGTATTAAGATATTACCACTTTACAACTTGTATGGATATAGCTTTCAAAAGTGTGGATATTACACCTGCCATCTCTCGAAGATGATTTTCCTGACCTGCCACTTTCATTTCTATCTAGTCCAGCTGAATTTTTACCGATTCCTCGTTTTAGGCACCGGTCTCGGCCAGGCACTAGCGAAACAGTGCAACACAAATGAGATGTGTGCTGTGTGAGACCAGCACAGTGATGGCATTGCAAATCAAATGGCCTCGCTATCCTTCCCAGACAAGAAATGCACTCATGAAATGCAAATGGGAGAAAACAAGTAGATTCCCAGTATCAGACAAAACTTTTAAATAAACATGAGCAAACTCAAAATCTGGTGCAGAACACCAGGAAAACTCAGGGACTTAGTTCTTACACATAAAGGGTCTGATAGCTAGGGTGAAAGAGAAGAAGGGAAGTGGTATGTAGGAACCTTCATGCATGATGGAGAAGTAATGTATCCATCCCTTACACAAGTACAGGCCAGAAACAAACAAACCACCCGAAACCAACCAACCCAAAAAAACAAACAAAACAAACAACCAAAAAAAAAACCCAAACCAGAAAAGCTATGGAATAAGTAAAAACTGACAGTTCTGTGAGTTGCCCATGCCTATAAAGCATCTAGTGGAACATGGACTGTATCTGGCATGATATCTTCTAAAGAAATAATGGTTCTAACTCTGTCTAAAAAAAGGATCCCCATCACTACTGAAGCAAGCTAACTATTTTAAGAGAGGAGTGGGAGTCTCAAAGGTTACAGTTTAATATAGTTGCCATTTCCTACATAGAAGAATATAAGAAAGGACTTTTTCTTCTCCCCCATGAGATCAAGATTTTCAGAGTCATAGGCATGAACTGGCCATTTACAACATCACATCAGCTGATACTCTTAGTGAGCGACACTTGCATTAAATGATCATTCAGGGAGACACACGACACAATCCCTGGTGTACAACACTTCAAAAAATAATTTAAGTTAGGATATTGAATATCCTATTCTTTTGAAAACTACAGTATATTTTAAAAGGAAATCTCATCCAAAATGATTAACGCTTCCTACTGTTCAGAAAAAAAGCCTGCCCTTTCAGACTAGCAGCTGTGAATCATTAGCTTTCCAGTGATGAGATGTGTTTGATGAGTATTTTTCTTTCTAATTAAGAGATGAGATTCTCTTTTTGACTATCTTCAGACTGAAGTGAAGAGAAAGATTTCTGCCTGTGTGGAAAGGCCATACTCTACAGAACAATTATTTCAGATTTCTTTTTATCTACCTCCACCCAATCTCATTTCACTTTTAACAAAATCCTGTTTGCACCCACAGACTTCACAGCATTAACCCCTATGTTTCCCAGTTCTTTTCCGTTTTTTCTTTTGTTTCTGTTTGGATTGCTAGCAGGAAAGTGCACGTAAAAAAAGAAGAATTATTCCTCACAGGAGACACTGATCCCATCCTCAGGTACAGAAGAGAGCAGAGGATGTGACAGGGGAGGGCTGCAAGAACTCCTGTTGAGAAGTTTCTGACAAAAGTAGAATTGCCTGAGTTTGGTGTACCAGAGACCGGCAGTGGCAGCACCCAGAGCCATGAGCTGTAATGTGCTGGGCAGTGTGGCAAGACACAGTCATCCCCACTGCCATCGTCTCACATGGGGCACACCAGTCATGCTGCAGTCTCCTCTTCAAGTTGTAGCTTTCTCTGATCATTTTCACAGAACATCCTCACATATGTATTATCTATATCCTTGCCTTTATATTCGTGACCAATCTCTTGATTACCCTGGAAACACAAAGGCTGGCTGTACAGCATTTTGGCACAACCACAAACAGACAATGTCTGCAGCTCCAAATACTGCACTTTAATATCAAGATCATCCAATTACTCTTTAAACTTAAAAGGACAATTGTATTACCTGAGGCTTTATCCCTTGGATGTATTCTCACGAGACTAGAAAGAATGAGAGATAACCCACATATCTGCATGGTACAGACTGTCTACCAAGTACTGCAGGTTTTAAGGACTTCAGTAAAATCCAGCGAGGTGCTTTATACCACAAAACACTTGGAAACATTCTGTATTATATACAAATAATAGTACTTTGTATTATACTTCGGAGAGACAGTAGCTTCTTCCATTACAAAAGTAGTCAGTTACATCTAGCAATCACAGTTCCTCTGATCTTGTATGACACTTCTAATAAAAAAAAATTAAAAGGGAAGCATTTCTTTTAGCTATATCAGATCTCAAACACACTAGCATTAATATAAACACTTATGGGAATTCATTCCAAATTCAGTGCCTTCATTCAGGTAAATCTGGAAGAAATATGCTTTTTAAACATGCTCTAAAGCATCCTCCACAATTTTTCTCATAAATCTTGCAATTTTACTTACAATAACCTGACTGCCAGGAGAAGGTGGAGTCAGAAAGATTTGAATCTCAAACACATTATCTG